TTTTTACTTTTTGCTATAAAACATATTCCAGTAAAAAATTTTAAAAATGAAATTTCGTCATACATTTAGGGCAAAATGTCTTTGCTAAAAAAAAAAACCCAATACATGTAAATTAATTGGTTTACGTGAACGTTATAGTGTCTACGAATGGCGGTATATATACTGGGATTTTTTTTTCATATACTAGTAATGTCATCGATCAGTAATTTATAGCGGGACTGGGGCAGGCATTCTGACACTAGGGGGAACTAACTTGGCGTCACTGACATCCCAGTGACACCAATACAGTGATCAGTACTAATGAAAAGCACTGACACTGTACTAAGGGCACTGGGCAGAAAGGGGTCAACATCTGGGGCAATGAAAGGGTTAACTGTGTGCTGTTTTACTGTGTGCTGTGTGTGTTTTACTAGGGAAACATGCTGCTGTGTATTTCTCTGCTGTGCAGAGAAATACACAGCAGCATGTTATTGCTGGCAGGAGAGAGACCTGTGTTGTTTCTGTAGCTGCCAATGGCGGCACGGGTAGGGTGCAATGCACACGCCCCCTACCCAGAAATGCAAATCACGCATATATACGTGATTTTGTGCAGTCCTGCCGTCCTGTGGCAGTACTTCTGCTATAAGGAAGGAAAACCATTTAGGAGTGTTTAGCGTTTCTGCTGGAAAAAACTCAAAAAAACTCTAAACTTTTTTTTTCTGCTCCTAAACACTGAAGCTCAAAAAATGCTAATAGCCTAAAGTAGAGTGCATGGACACATAGGATAACACTACCTTCTAGGAGCAGAAAAAATGAAAAACAAAATGCTAGGAAAGATGATACTCTACTAACCAAAACTTATTTTAAACCAACTGATCGTAATAGTTATCTTCCATGGTTTAGTGGACATCGCCCATAATGGCTTAAAAATATCCCTAAGGGTCAGATTATGAGATTTAGGAGGAATTGCTGTCAGGACAGCGATTTCCTCAATCAATCAGAAACCATTATGGGTAGATTTGTTGATAAAGGTTATTATCAAGAATTTCTCCAGGAAGCTGTCAATGAAGTATTTGAAATACCTAGGAAGCAATTTCTTGGAGAGAAATTAAAAGATAATTTAAATGATAAACATCAATGGGATTTCATATCGAATTTTCATGCACAATTTAAAGAAGTGGAAAGTATATTCAGTAGGCATTGGCATATACAGTTGCAAGAAAAAGTATGTGAACCCCTTGGGATTACGTGGAGTTTTGCATGAATTGGGCATAAAATGTGCTCTGAACATCACCTAAGTCACAACAATAGAAGAACACAGTCTGCTGAACATAATACTACACAAACATTAGATGTTGCCATGGTTTAATTGCACATAACATGTAAACATTCACAGTGCAGGGAGGAAAAGGTATGTGAACCTTTGGACTTAATAACTGGTTGACCCTCCTTTGGCAGCAATAACCTCAACCAAATGTTTCCTGTAGTTGCAGATCAGACCTGCACAACGATCTGGAGTAATTTTGGACCACTCCTCTTCACAAAACTGTTTCAGTGTAGCAATATTCTTGGGATGTCTGGTGTGAATCGCTCTCTTCAGGTCATGCCACAGCATTTCAATCGGGTTGAGGTCAGGACTTTGACTGGGCCACTCCAGAAGGCGTATTCTGTGCTGTTGCAGCCATTGTTTTGTTGAATTACTTGTATGCTTTGGGTCATTGTCCTGTTGCATCACCCATCCTCTGCGGAGCTTCAGTTGGCGGACAGACGGTCGTATGTTTTCCTGCAAAATGTCTTGATAAACTCTGGAATTCATTTTCCCATCAATGACTACAATCCGTCCAGGCCCTGAGGCAGCAAAGCAGCCCCAAACCGTGATGCTCCCTCCACCATGTTTTACAGTGGGGATGAGGTTTTGATGTTTGTGTGCTGTGCCTTTTTTTCTCCACACATAGTGTTGTGTGTTCTTCCCAAACAACTTAATCTTGGCTTCATCTGTCCACAGTATATTTTGCCAGTAGTGCTGTGGAACATCCAGGTGCTCTTTGGCAAACTTCAAACGTGCTGCAATATTCTTTTTGGACAGCAATGGCTTCCTCCGTGGTGTCCTCCCATATACTCCATTCTTGTTTAATGTTTTCCTTATTGTAGATGTGTCAACAAAAATGTTAGCATGTGCCAGAGATTTCTGTAGGTCTTTAGCTGACACTCTGGGATTCTTCTTTACCTCATGCAACATTCTGCGCTGTGCTCTTGCAGTCATTTTTACAGGACGACCACGCCTAGGGAGAGTAGCAACAGTGCTAAACTTTCTCCATTTGTAGACAGTCTGTCTTACCGTGGACACATAAACATCAAGGCTTTTGGAGATACTTTTGTAACCCTTTCCAGCTTCATGCAAGTCAACAATTCTTGATCGTAGGTCTTCTGAGAGCTCTTTTCTGCGAGGCATGGTTCACATCAGACAGTGCTTCTTGAAACCAGTAAACCCAAAACAGGTGTGTGTTTTTTTAAGGGCAGGACAGCTGTCAGCAACACATCCAATATCATCACACTGATTGGAGTCAAGGTTGGCTCACTCCTGACTCCAATTAGCTCTGGGAGAAGTCATTAAGCTAGGGCCTCACATACTTTTTCCTCCCTGCACTGTGAATGTTTACATGTTATGTGCAATTAAACCATGGCAACATCTAATGTTTGTGTAGTATTATGTTCAGCAGACTGTGTTCTTCTATTGTTGTGATTTAGATGATGTTCAGAGCACAATTTATGCCCAATTCATGCACAACTCCACGTAATCCCAAGGGGTTCACATACTTTTTCTTGCAACTGTATTAAAAATGGACAAGGTACTTGGATCTGTAATTCCTGAAAAACCCACATTTATTTATAGGAAAGACCCACATTTGGGGATAAAGTGGTAAAAAAAGATCTTGGATCCTCCCAAAAAATTGGAAATGTTTTGGGATAAAAAAGTTTTTTCTTCATGTAAAAAATGCTCAGCGTGCAGGACAGTAAAGAATAAATGTAGCAGACTTACCAAATTCCTATCTAAGTCCAATGAAGGGAGTTTGATATATCCACTTTTATGTGAAACTACTCATGTAGTTTGTGCTCTAGAATGCCCATGTGGCTTGATTTACTGTATATAGGCCGCACTAAAAGACATTTCAGGATTAGAATCCAAGAACATCTGAATAATATAGTGAAAGGTTATAAATATCATAGTGTATCTATGCACTTTAGAAAATATCACTGGGGGGGGGGGGGGGGAACCGAGATCCTTCCTGTATTAAATTTTGGGGAATTGACACCATTCCCCGTATATGGCGTGGGTCAAATAGGGTGAGAGAGTTGTCAAAGTGCGCAACGAGGTGGATTTATCTCACCGACGCTCTAACCCCTAATGGTTTAAATGTTGAATTGGACTTAAATTGTTTTATTAGTGATTATTAATTTATGATTTATTTTTTTTTAATTATACTCAATTATTTTATATTTTATATCTATATGATTTTATATTTATGTTATTTGTATTAGGAGTTCTATAATATTGTATTGTTGATGGTGTCCTTTTCTGTATTAAGAATAGTGGATTGTCAAGTAGGTGTTTGACCATATGATAGCAGCAGCGAGCTTTGCTTTTCCCCTTCTGGTATTTGTCTGTTTGTTTGAGGCAGGACCAGTTGATTATATGCCATTATATGTTCAATCACAAGATGGCAGTAGAGGTTCTATTAAGCTAACACTAACCTATAGGATTGTGAGCGGTCTTATAAAAGACCAAACATCTGCATGTTGATCACACCCTCAAACAAAGTTGTGTGACGAAACGCATAAGGGTGTGATCAGCAGTAACGTCACCACGTATGCTGTGACCAGGTGGCTGGACCATGTGACTGCAACTACGTGATCTGTTGCTGAGAGCGAGTGGTGAGACGCTACTGTGAGAGCTGACAATTGTTTGCAGCTATATATATCATTGAATGCTGTTTTTTTATCTTATACATGTTGAGTTTGATTCTAAAGGGGGGAATTTTGATACAATAAATTGTTAAACGATATTATGCTATGGCGAGTGTTCTTTATTTACCCACATCTGGAATTGGATTATACTTACCTTGATGGAGTCTAAGTTGGATCAACCATTCGATGATTGAATAGTATTATCTGAATTAATCGTTTTTTTTTATGAATCCACCACATCTGTTGATATTTGATTGAAATGCTGATTAAACACCAGCATCTGGTGACTTAGCACTTTCCTGGGGTGTTGAGCACAATGGAAATCACAGTTGTGGCGAATATTTTTTGAAGAAAATTATTATTTTTTTAAGAAAATTATATTTGGACTATACTTTATTATGAACCTATTTTTTTACAAAATGGATTGATTTTTCACTTTTTTGCACTCTTTTTGGTGGCAGTTTTTATCTATTTATTCATTTATTTATTTTATCTGTTTATTTATTCAGTTATTTAATTTTGATTTTGAATATTTTATATTTATTTATACATAATTTAAGGGGATATTCTTTGAGAGCGCTGTTTATGGTATTTCCATTATTTATATGCTTTTAAATGTTTTTTTAAACCAGCAGCTCTATTCACATATCTGATTAATAGTTATTTGACTATAAATATTTCACGTTATTTTGGCGCGGTGATATAGGTTTTTAATCAGTTTATCGATTTGTCAATTTATTGATATATTGATTTATTTTAGCTTATATAAAAGCTTTTTGCAAATTTGGAAAAAAAAACTATATTTTTGAGTTTTTGCTATTAAATATGTCCAGTAAAAAAAATTAAAAAAATCAAGTTTCATCATAAATTTAGGCCAAAATGTATTCTGCTACATGTCTTTGCGAAAAAAAAAAAATCCCAATGCATGTAAATTAATTGGTTTACTTGAAAGTTATAGCATTTACAAAATGGTGGTATATATATGTATATATATACACACACACTGGAATTTTTTATTTTTATTTTTTTTTATAGTAATGGCGGTGATTAGCAACTTATAGCGGGACTGCGGCGGGCATTCTGACACTGGGGGGAACTGACTTGGTGTCACTGACATCCCCAGTGACACCAATACAGTGATCCATGCTAATAAGAAGCACTGACACTGTACTAATGGCACTGGGCAGGAAGGGATTAACATGTGGGACAATCAAAGTGTTAACTCTGTGCTGTTTTACTATGTGCTGTGTGTGTGCTTTACACTGTAAGCACACCGCTTTGTATGGCTCTGCTATGCAGAGCCATACAAAGCAGTGGTGTGTGCAAGAGCTGACAGGGGAGAGATCTGTATTGTTTACACACAGGTCTCTTCCCTGTCAGAAATCCTTGGCGATCACTGGGTGCCGGCGGCGAATCACCGGCCAGGACACAATGACTGACAGCCGAGGCCATGAATGGCGGCACGGGTATGGCACGTGTACCCCCTATCCAGAACTTCAAAATCACGTATATATACGTAATTTTGCGCACCTGTGTCACCCTGTAGCAGTATTTCTGCTATAAGGTGGCGCCGAAGCGGTTAAAGAGAGGGGTAACAACCGCTAGACTTTGGCCCCAGCCCGGGAGTCTAAAACCAGACACACAACCTTCTCTATCAAACACCCACTCCCTGGCATTGAAAAAGTCCTGGAGGTCCTAGGAGGAAGGGGGTTTCATAGTCTCCCTAGGTGTAAGGCACTGATGAAAATCTTGTCGGTAGGCAGGGGTAGCTGACAACAGACCTTCCTCCATGTTCCCCATTAATTCGTTGGGTGTCAAACGTGGGTCACTGTCAAGGTCCTACCTTTTTCCAGAGGTTATGTTACTCCATGTGCTGGCATCCATCTTGGATTTCTGCTTAGCATGGTGGGAATCTTTTATGCCTTCAGGTCTCTGAGGTCCATCCCCCAGAGGGGTGTGGCTGAGTACATATAAGCCTGTGATCCGCACATGCTCTTTGCACTTGTGTCTTGTGTCTTTGTCTTGCTACAGCTCTGTGTATACTCTTGTGACTTTTCTGGTATCTGACTCGGCTTGTGACTAAGACCATTCTCTGTGTTTTCCTTCGATCTGACCTTCCGTTGCTGAACCCGGCCCGTGATCTGTGATTCTCTGTCTACTGTTCTGTACCGTTTTGTCCCGTTGTTGTCGACCCGGCCAGCCTGACTACGCTATTGTCATTCTTACCAGCTACACGCCATTGGCGCAACCGGGGTGTCTCGGGGGCCGCGACCTGGTTCCTGGCTGCGTCAAGTCCATCCCCACCATCAGGGGCCCTGGTGAAGGGCAGCCTGGGATTTAGACTCCGCGCCCTGAGGGACTTCGGTCTGTTGGTGGTGGTTGTCATCAGCCAGTGCGTTACCCTGCCACTAGGCCTACCTGTCCGTTCCTCAGCCCTGCCCTGACAGTCACATGTGAGGACTACTCCCGGCGTGGCTTCTTCTGAGCTACACTAGGCACCTGTAACAGGAACACTCTACTTCACACATATCGGGTACCTTTACTCTCATGCCGTTTTCCCCAGTACCCAGGGACAAGGCTGAGGCCGCTATGGGGCAACGACTCAACCTGAAGGCGTGCCTCTGCTTTTAGACATGAACATACACCATGTACATCTGCACCATAACTGTTCTCCAGTTAACTTTTGGGTCCCTGTGTAAATGTACATCTTCTCACTGTAGCTTGTAATTAGGCAGGCTGTGCCAACAGAGACGACAGCTACCTGTCCAATGTTTTCCACTACTGATCCCAGCAGCAGAATGGAACCCCACAGTGCACTTGACTGTAACTTCCCTACACCTGTACAGGCTGGGGACTTCTGCAATGAAGTTCTGCTCCATTTGCTATGGGAGACAGATTGTGGCGAAAGGAGTGCTGACAGTATCTCCCTGATAGCTAGAGGTTAGTTTACCTACAACAGGTACTGGACACGTTATTGCAGGCTGTTCAATGACTCCTGAAGTGTCCCCGGCAATGTCCTCCGGCCAATGCCAGCATCTGTCTTCTGGGTTCCGTTCCCTGTGACGTCAGGACGTACAGGGACAGAATGGCTGGAAATATAAAAATGTGAAAAAGTGACATTCACTAAATACACTAAAATCACATAGTAAGACATTACTGTATCAAACCATTTCACATACAGTTTGTCCCGAGAGCTTTGTCCTGTGCCCTGTCTGCATTTTTACTGTTCTTTCTGCCTGGAAACTGAGAAACGTCCATGGCGTCCAAAAAGCGTCCCTTTAGGTCAAAATCGGATTTAGACCAGCTAGAGAGCAGCGATAGTAAATCAGAAACACTTGCAGAATTGAGTGATAATGATTTGTGGGAAAATTCGTCATCAGACACTGAAAACAATTTTGCGACTTTGCTCAGTGATGTGCGAACTTGGCGCTCTATTTCAAATTTCAGTGTTTTTGGTTTAATTATATTATCGAACTAAATGTATTATTATTTTTATAATTTATGATTTCATGTTTCAAATTTTAACATACCCGGGATGTTTACTAGACTCTTGTTCGGACAGATTTCAGTGAGTTATTCCTAAAAATTACAGGCCTACAATAAACAAAATACATATTTCCATGCAAAAAAATGTACCGCTTTGAGCACAGAAATATGGACATAATCAGACCGCTAGGGAGGTTAAGTCTTCAAAGCTAATATACAGTAATTCTGCACAGGTCCACACAACAATCATACCTCGGGCTCAGGGGCGGACTGACCATTTAGCCACTCGGGCACTGCCCGAGGGCCCAGGGTCAGTAGGGGGCCCCATGAGATGCCCCTGGTACATTTCATTGGCTTTTTCATAGGCTATTTTGGGTGTGGGAGATGACACGGGGGCCCCATAATCCCCTATTGCCCGGGGGCCCTATGAGTTGTCAGTCCGCCTCTGCTCGGGCTGATTATCATTTGACAACCTACAGTAAATCAAGGTATATATTTGGGTTGTGCTCCGTGACATAGCAGCAACTTCTGATAGACCATCTGTTAGATATTAAAGTTGTACATTATTTCCTGTGCAGAGATCCAACATAGACAGAGCACGATGAATTGATCCTGACAGGAATAAACTACATCACGGAGAGCAATTACATTTTTATACTTCAGGATATCTGCAGACGGAGCGCAGTGTACAGTAAGTTCATGCTTGCTGCTATTAGACAATATAAAAACAGTTTGTGAAATATAATAAACATCACCTGGTGCCCCCCGGAACTCCCGACTGTGAGCAGCTTTTCTGGATTGGTGTGCTTATAGTAAATCTGTTCTTCCCCTAGGCATTCATGTGCTAAAATGACATACTGTATGCAATACTATAGGAGGAATCCCAGGCAAGCTGTGCCGTTAGAAGTTATTCCAGAGCTATATTTCTACCCATCAGTGTGTGTGTTTCAAAGGTCAAACTATTTAAATAGCAGCAGTATTAAAACTGTGAAAGCATATATTACCCTCTCATTGTTTTTACTGATTTATATAACATTGATACATTCTACATTTAGGTGTCACTGCTCCAAAGCCCTTTACAATCTTGTAACCTATCCTAAGACCTACAGTAACTAATGGTGGCCACACACGCTTCACTATTTTGTATATATTTTTATCCAGTTGATGTGTGATTTGTTTAAAATGATTGAATCCACAAACAATCAAACAGTCAGAACTACCCAATTTACACTTAACCACTTGCCCTCCAGAGGATTTACCCCCCTTCCTGACCAGGCCATTTTATGCAATATGGCGCTGCGTTATTTTAACTGACAATTGCATGAAATTTGTGTCACTTTTTTTGCCACAAAAAGAGCTTTCTTTTGGTGGTATTTGATCTCTGCGTTTTTTTAATTTTTTGCGCTATAAACAAATAAAAGACCGTCAATTTTGAAAAAAAATATATATATTTTTCAGTTTTTGCTATAAAATATATCAAATAAAAAAATTTAAAAAAAAAAATCTCTTCATAAATTTAGGCCAAAATGTATTCTGCTACAAAAATCCCAATACGTGTAAATTAATTGGTTTACGTGAAAGTTATAGCGTTTACAAATGGCGGTATATATACTGGAATTTTTTTTTTTTTTATACTAGCAATGGCAGCGATCACCGACTTATAGCACAACTGTGGGACTGCGGCGGGCATTCTGACACTGGGGTGGGAACTGATTAACGGTCACTGACACCCCCAGTGACACTAATACAGTGATCAGTGCTAATAAAAAGCACTGACACTGTACTAATGATACTGGGCAGGAAGAGGTTAACATCTAGGGCAATCAAAGGGTTAACTGTGTGTTGTGCTTACACTGTGTGCTGTTACTAGGGAGGCATGCTGCTTTGTATCTCTCTGCTGTGCAGAGAGAGAGAAAGCAGCATGTCCATGCTGACAGGAGAGAGATCTGTGTTGATCTCTCCCCTCTCTGCTTTAGCAGTGATCACTGACTGCCAGCCAAGAATTGCTGGCCAGGACCCGGTGATTGACATCCACTGCAACCAATGGCAGTGCAGGTAGGGCGGAGTACGCACCCCCTACCTGGAAATGCAAAATCACATATATTTGCATGATTTTGCGCAGATCGGCCGCCCTGTAGCAGTAAACTTGATATAGGGTGGAGCTTACTAAATCCACAACAGTATAATTAGTCTGTATATGCAGTAACGCATGCTTATTATACTCACTACTTACCTAAGGGGTTAATCATCTGCATTATTTAAAAAAGCTGTTTGATCCTGTCTTCTCTGATCCTTCCATTCTTCTACTGTCCCCTATCCATCTGCTGATAGTACAGAGAGCCAGAAGACACTCTGCACATGCTCAGTTTGGTGTGTATTACTAGAGAGCTTTTTTTTTGTGATCGGCATAAGGCTAATAAGCCGTGTCCAGACAAAGGGTCAAGGGTTAAGTAGCCTCATAGGACAGTCAGAGGAGAATGAAAACTCTTCCTACATGATTAACCAGTTGCTCGGCTAGACACTGAAAGAAGTCATAAGACTACTATATGCTGCTGAAGAGAAAAGGTATTTAGCAGTTTATATTTACTAAAATAGTTGCATTTCCATGTTCTGTGTGCTGTGAGAGACCAGATATAGTGAATGCAGGGTCCTGGGTTTAGTAACACTTTAACCACTTCCCATCCAGCCCATATACATAAATGGCCGGATGGGAGCATTGCAGGGGTGGGTGGCCGTTTATAAACGTTCTCCCCGCTTTCCTGCTTGTGCGCACTCCCTAGGAACACCGATCTCTGTACAGGACCTCAGTGTGAGGTCACAATCATGTGATCACTGATTGGCCAATCAGTGATCACATGAATAGTAGTAAGCAAGATATCACTTCTGACATAATTGCTAGTGAAATCTGTGAATGATCACAGAGGTCACATGGTACAAGGCTATTCACAACAGCCTTGTGCCATGTGACAAGCTGTGACCAATCACAGTTCTCACAGTATTTCTCAATGGCTGCAGGAATACAGCCAGAGAGAAGCATAAATGATTACTTTCACAGCCTTTATGGGTGTAAAAGCAATTAGTGTAATAAAAAAATCTTCATCACCCCCCACAAGTAGTACTATGGTGACACTGTACTGCTAGGGTGACAGTATGTTAAAAAAAAAACAAAAAAAAACATAAATAATAATATAAAAAAATAAAATAAAAATGTAAAAAAAAAATATTGAAAAATTATAATTTTTGGTTATAAACTAATGTGGGTTTTTTTTACAAAAAAAATAACTGAATACATTTTGGCCAAGACTTATGAAGAAAGATTATTTATTTGCAAAATTTTTATAAGAAAAACACTTTTTTTTCTACATTTTTGGACTTTGTAAATTTATTTAGCAAAAAAAAATAAAAATCCTAGTGGTGAATAAATACCACCAAAATAAAGTTTTTTATCTGTCTCAAAAAAATGCAAAAAATTTATATGGGTACAGTGTTGCATGACCGCGCAATTGTCAAATTCTAAAGTGACAAAGTGTGATAGCACTGAAAGCTGAAAATTGGCCTGGACAAGAAAGGGGTAAAAGTGTCCGGACTTGAAGTGGTTAAAGTAGAATAAAAGGCAAAACCTTTTTTGTTATGGCCCCGTACGATTTATTTCTGCCATCTGTGTTCCATTGGGGAGATTTCCCCTCACTTCCTGTCCCACAGGCAAAATAGAAAGTGAGAGAAAATCCCTCTAAAGTGAGGGAATCCCAGTGTATCCCAACTTGAAGATATCCACACTATTCCTGTCTCAGAGACATATTTGTTGGTATCATTATAGCTCACTGAAGCAATGCTTCTTTCTCCTTGAAAAGTGATAAAACATTAACCCCTTAGTGACTAAAGGTAAAACAAAATCCTATTGCCTAAACACATTTTTGCAACTTTGACGTGTTAGTAAAATTGTATGTATTATCACAACTACTTTGTGTAGTAGATCCAGGTGGGTTATACCTTGATTTTTTTTTTCAGGAGAAATTTGGCTTTCTTTTGGAGGTAAATAACTGATACCCGTTTTTTTTTTTTTTAAATTATGATTATCATCAAGGGAAAACTGTCTCAAGAATTGTAAAAAAAAAAAAAAGAATTTTTAACCACTTGCCCTCCTGAGGATTTACACCCCTTCCTGACCAGGCCTCTTTTTGCTACTCGGCGCTGCACTAATTCAACTGATAATTGCACGGTCATGCAAATGAAATTTACATTCTTTTTTCACACAAATAGAGCTTTCTTTTGGTGGTATTTGATCACCTGTGCGATTTTTATTTTTTGCGCTATAAACAAAAGGCCGAAAATTTTGAAGAAAAACAATATTTTTTTACTTTCGGCTATGAAAAATATATAGTAAACTCAAAGTTAGTTATAAATTTAGGCCAAAATGTATTCTGCTACATGTTTTTGGTAAAAAAAAATCCCAATAAGTGTATATTGATTGCTTTGTGTGAAAGTTATAGCATCTACAAACTATGGTATAGATACTGCAATTTACGCCATTTTTTTGCTATACAGCGTTGCGCTAGTTTAACAGACAATTGCGCGGTCATGCAATACGGTACATAAATGAAATTTATGTCCTTTTTTCACACAAATAGAGCTTTCTTTTGGTGGTATTTGATCACCTGTGCACTTTTTATTTTTGGCGCTTCAAACAAAAAAAGTTTTGAGAAAAAAAAAAATATCCAAAAAACCAAAACTTTTGTCATAAATTTAGGCCAAAATGTATTCTGCTACATGTTTTTGGTTAAAAAAAATCCCAATAAGTGTATATTGATTGCTTTGTGTGAAATTTGTAGCATCTACAAACTATGGTATAGATCAGTGGTTCTCAACCTTTCTAATGCCGCGACCCCTTATTACAGTTCCTCATGTTGTGGTGATCCCCAACCATAAAATTATTTTCGTTGCTACTTCATAACTGTAATTTTGCAGTGGGAGGAGTAGTGCCACGTCATTGGTGTCAGTGGGAGGAATAGTGTCCCATCACTGATGTCAATGGGAGGAATAGTGCCCCATCATTGGTATCAGTGGTAGGAATAGTGCCCCATCATTGGTGTCAGTGGTAGGAATAGTGCCCCATCATTGGTGTCAGTGGGAGGAATAGTGCCCCGTCATTGGTGTCAGTGGGAGGAATAGTGCCCCGTCATTGGTGTCAGTGGGAGGAATAGTGCCCCTTCATTGGTGTCAGTGGGAGGAATAGTGCCCCGTCATTGGTGTCAGTGGGAGGAATAGTGCCACGTCATTGGTGTCAGTGGGAGGAATAGTGCCCGCCATAGGTGTCAGTGGGGGGAATAGTGCCCCATCATTGGTGTCAGTGGAGGGAATAGTGCCCCATCATAGGTGTAAGTGGGGGGAATAGTGCCCCATCATAGGTGTCAGTGGAGGGAATAGTGCCCCATCATTGGTGTCAGTGGGAGGAATAGTGCCCCATCATTGGTGTCAGTGGGAGGAATAGTGCCCCATCATTGGTGTCAGTGGGAGGAATAGTGCCCCATCATTGGTGTCAGTGGGAGGAATAGTGCCCCATCATTGGTGTCAGTGGGAGGAATAGTACCCCATCATTGGTGTCAGTGGGAGGAATAGTACCCCATCATTGGTGTCAGTGGGAGGAATAGTGCCCCATCATTGGTGTCAATGGGAGGAATAGTGCCCCATCATTGGTGTCAGTGGGAGGAATAGTGCCCCATCATTGATGTCAGTGGGAGGAATAGTGCCCCATCATTGGTGTCAGTGGGGGGAATAGTGCCCCATCACTGGTGTCAGTGGGAGGAAAAGTGTCCCATCATTGGTGTCAGTGGGAGGAAAAGTGTCCCATCACTGGTGTCAGTGGGAGGAAAAGTGTCCCATCACTGGTGTCAGTGGGAGGAAAAGCGCCCCAACATTGGTATCAGTGGGAGGAATAGCGCCCCATCATTGGTATCAGTGGGAGGAATAGCGCCCCATCATTGGTGTCAGGGGGAGGAATAGCGCCCCATCATTGGTGTCAGTGGGAGGAATAGCGCCCCATCACTAGTGTCAGTGGGGGGAGGAATAGCGCCCCATCGTTGGTGTCAGTGGGGGGAGGAATAGTGCCCCATCGTTGGTGTCAGTGGGGGAGGAATAGTGCCCCATCGTTGGTGTCAGTGGGGGGAGGAATAGTGCCCCATCGTTGGTGTCAATGGGGGGAGGAATAGTGCCCCATCGTTGGTGTCAGTGGGGGGAGGAATAGTGCCCCATCGTTGGTGTCAGTGGGGGGAGGAATCGTGCCTCATCGTTGGTGTCAGTGGGGGGAGGAATCGTGCCTCATCGTTGGTGTCAGTGGGAGGAATAGTGCCCCATCATTGGTATTAGTGAATCCAATGATGGGGTACTATTCCTCCCACTGACACCAATGATACTTACCTTGCTGACCCCTGCTCCAGCCTGGGCTCGCTCGCTCCCTCCCTCCCTCCCTCCCTCCCTCTCCCATGGTACAGACACTTACCTGTCAGCTGTCTTCCTTCTCCGGCCGCTCTCCTCCTCTTCACCCGCTCGATCTTCGCGGTGCCGCTCGGCTCCTCCTCTCCAAGCTCCACCTCCTCGCTGGTGATTGGCCGCCTGTGTGCCTCTCCTGAGCTACAGTTCCGGCGGCCAATCACCGGCGAGGATTGATCCCGAGGGTGTGTCCAGATGACAGGGGCGGCATGTCATCCCGCCCACACCTGGAGACGGATAGAGCAGCGGTGTCTCGGTTCCTAACACCATCGGAAATATGTGTTTTCCGATGGTCTTAGGCGACCCCTGTAAAAGCGTCGTTTGACCCCCAAAGGGGTCGCGACCCCCAGGTTGAGAACCGCTGGTATAGATAATGGAATTTACACAGCTTTTACTTTCTGACTGCTCATCACATTTCTTGAGGTGTTAAAATACCAGGATAGTACAAACATCCTCAAATGACCCCTTTTCGGAAAGTAGACACCCTAAGCTGTCTGCTGAGAGGCATATTGAGTCCATAGAAGATTTATTTTTTTCTACAAGTTTCTGGAAAATAACAAAAACTTTTTTTTTTTTTACACAAAGTTGTCATTTAAATGATATATTTCT